CCTAAATAGTCGATTTATATTTTCTACTGTTACGCCTGCTTATATCAATTGCTTTTTAGCCTAATTTAATTAGCCAACAGACTGTGCAAAATTCCTTCCTTCGTTACTGTGGTCCCTGTTAATAGCAAATTTGAAATCAATATTTAATCGGTATATGAAGTTATTACTGATTAGTAAGAAAGTTACATTCATTGGAATGAGTTTTGGCCACCCATCATCCATAAGGCATTATTTAAAACTTATAGATGGATTTGCACTTTTTCTGTTCGTTGTTTCATTTTAATTAATGTTTTGACCCAAATTCAAATATTCATCTGTAAACTTATATTCTCGCCTTGAAATGAATCCTACTTTGACAACACACCTCAACACCTACCATCATTGATTTCGATTTAGATTATATGCCTTCTCAAATTCCTATAAATCTTTAATTCACATTCAGATAAATGCGTACTATGAACTCGAAATGATTGAAAGTCAATCAGAAACACAAATTTCTCATAGGACGAATCTGAATTACAACGTTAACGCAATTCATTAAACGATTAAAACTATTTTCCAATTAAACTGTTAAGTTCAAAAACAATGTTGAACCGAAGTTATACTCGTCTTGGAACAAAAATCCTGGCTTTAAATTAATATAATATATAAAAATTGGCCAGAATTTTTGTTAAGTTCTTGACTTGTTCATCACTCGATCAGCAAGAATCTTTCTTGCTTTACAATTTTTAACCAGAATCTACATTAGGTTATAACTTACAATAATTCCCATCATTTCGAAATTTTGTCTATGGTCATTGACCAAATACATAGTTAAGCTTCATATCTATATAGCATCGTTTGTACAACCAGCGGTCAATAGACGAGCATACTTAAAGCAGTTCAGGGATTTATATTGATCAAAAATATCTATTTATATGCGAACATTTCACGGTCTCTTATGTACGTTATTTTTAACGGTTTAAGACGAAATAACAAGTGCCCTATTGGTTGTGGATAAAAAAAGTTTTATTAAAAATATTGGCTTTTTCAAGGATTGCTTCAATTCTTCTTTCAATGCTCGATTTTAGTAAATCCGATCTGTCGCTTTACTCCAAGATTATGTTTGCTGCTACAATTTCAATTCCAAATTTTTCATTTATTTCAATTGCTATCTAATTTAGTAATATTAACATTTTCTTAAAAAAAAAAAATAAATAAATAAATAAAATAAGTGAAGGCAAGTGAAAGTACTGAAAGTAAACTTCTTTTATAAAAAATGTAATAAATAATAGATACAAGTTAACATAATAATCCTTGTAACTACAAATAACTACACAAACACTTTAAAAAACTTCATTGTTGTAAAATCCATAAGATAAGGTTGTTTCCCACTACTGCGAAGCTTCTTCCCGCTTTTCAATAGACTTTTTCAATATTAATGTGAAGAAAAGAGCTCTACTTAATTTAAATTCATTTAGACTGCATTCCTCTAATATGACGGATCGCAATTTCAAAAGAATTTCATTTAGTCTCTCCATAAACTTTTTTATATATAGTCATTTACATATATATATATATAATCGTTTCCAAAATACATAAAAGTCATATAGGTCGTTGGCACGCAAATCAAATCAGTGAGCCGAAATTCGAAAGCTATCGATATCGACAACTTTATACCGGCCTCTGAACTTGTTTTCATAATATATGAAACTATTGTATATAATAAAATATCCCTAAAAGCCTTGAGATTTAAATCGGATTTCAGTGAAAACGCAAAAAATTTTGATATGAAAATTAACAAAAAAAAGATTTGGAAAAATCAAATTTGTGAGTTGAAAAAAAGAGAATTGAAATAGTCGTTTCGAAAAGCAAAATTTTGTAAATTGAAAATCAATAGCTGTGTTTTAAATTTCCAACTTGTAACTTCCGACTTACGGTTCGAAATGATTTAAATTATTTTAATCAGCAATTGATAGGGAGAGAGAGAGAGAGAGAAAGAAAGAAAGAAAAAGAAATTAAAAAAAAACAAAAATAAATAAATAAACAAATAAGTCATGTTTTTGTGCCAATAGACAACGACCGACTGTCACACAATTTGCAATTACGATTTTTTTCATATATATAACTCCTGATGTACAAGTTACACTTGTATACAATAATTTTGTTGTCTTTCCAAGGATACGAAAAAGTTAAGATGTTCTTTAAAAAGGCAAAAAGTTGGCAATTTTCATAATTCATAATTTCAAAATCAAGTAAAAACAGTCAGATTTCAGAGTTCAGATTTCGAAATCACGCAGCTTGAAACCATGCAAAAACAACTTACATATATAAAAGACATTTTCTGAAACAGAAAAACTTGAAGGTGTACTTTCTTATATCTCTTCAAAAATGAAAACTAATAAACAAAATGAATTTTCAATTTTCAACTTACGACGACTTCAATAAACTACAAGTTGAGAAAAAGTCTTTCATATTTCAAAAGTACAACTACTGCAACAATCATTTGTAGAAGTGGAGGCTTATTTACATAATATAAAAAAAAAAAAAAACAAACAAACAAACGATTCCGTGCGAGAAGTCCGGAAAAAATACATTCTAGCTCAGTTAAATCAATGGGCTAAAATTTTGTAAGACATAAAAACGCAAAATTCATAAAAGAAGAAAAATTTCTTTTATATAACGCAAAAAAATTTCTTTTTTTTTTTTTTTAGTTTTTTCAAAGTTATAAACAAGATTAAAAAACATAGCTTAAGTAAATCTTTTATGAAAAACGTAAAAAATTTATCTATTAAATATATTTTACAACAATTTATTTATAATGTAAAACATTTTTCTTTTGTTTTGTTTCACTTTCTTAAAGCCAAGCAAGGGAAAACTGTTCAAGTAACAAATTTAAACAATTTTTAAACCATAAGAATGAAAATAATGTGCATGAAATTTTTTTTGGAACTAAAACAAAAAACTTTTTTCTTTTCAAGAAACGGAAATTTTTAATAAAAACGTAGTGTAACTAACTGATGATCTAAATATGTTTGCTTTTTTTACAATATTTCATTTTCATTTATTTATTTATTTTTTTTTAAATTATTTTGACTTGTTTTACTTATTATTTAAATGTATTATAAATTAATTAACTCTACATAGTTAAGCAACAGTATTTAACATTCCTTTGTTTTCTTCAACTTTTTCCTCATTTTATTTCTTGAATTTTTCAAATCGCAACCAATGGACAAAACCGCATAAATATATCATTTTTACATATACATTTCAGTTATTTCCTTACTCTGTCTGATACTGAATGCCATCATGCCGTTCTTGACCACTCTATAAGCAAATCCCGTTATAACAAAAAGCAATTGGTTTTAAACATTGTTCGTTTCTCTTCGAACTTCTAAGGTATAATATATGCAGATTTTTCACATATCTCGAAGTACGTCGTTATGTCCCTTAGCTACGGTAATCTATTTATTTAAAAACTTTAAAACTAATAGTTCTGACAAAGTGGACTTTTTTTTCTCCTTATATTTAAAAAATGAAGAAATAGTGCAAAGAAAAAAAAAGAAGAAAATTATTAAATTATAAAAAAAAAAAAAAAAAAAAAAAAACTGTTTTAAAAACAATTTTTTTAGACATTTATTAAAGACTTTTGGTCTTAACTGTTTATTACATGAACATAAAGCTGCAAAAGAATTACATGAATTTTTATTTACTTTTTTTGATAATTTCATCTTTTTTTAATATACATATATATATGTATATATTATATATATTATTATTTTAACAACAAAAAAGAAAACGAAAACTCGTTGCTTGGAAAGCACCCGAAACCATAGTCAGCCTGACATACTTTTAAACGAAATACAAAAAACTGGCTTCGCTACATCAGTACGTCATCGGTAGTTCTGGTCAGAAAGCAAATAATGATAACTCAATTTAATAGAACTTACACACTCTCTTCAACTTAAATGTTTTGCTAATTTCAAGAACACATTAAGAGAGGAGTTGTAGCATAGCAGCTCTTGCGACTCTTGCTAAAGAAGATCTAATCAATAATAATTTTTGCAACGAATTTTACATTTTACCGACAGATGATATAATTAATGCACTATGGATTAACGACCAAAAGGAGCAAAAAGTAATTTACTTTAAATCCTTCAAAAAATTCATTCTTGTTTTTAAATTTTTTTTTTTTTTTTTTTTTTTTGATTTAAAATTATTTTAATTTATCTGTAATCATTTCCTTGATTTTAAACGTCTTCATAAGCCAACAAAAGTCATTCTGAGTTAACAACGGAATCGACTTTAGAGGCAGTTAGTTACTTATAAAATATACTACTACGGGCCCACGGCAACAATCAAATGCGAACACCTTAAGCTGCCGCTTTATTTCTTTAAATAGCCAGCTATTGTTAAGCGCGGCTTACCACAATTGCATTTCCTAAGAAATCGATGCTTTTTTATGTTGCAATGTTAAAGTTTACTCTGCATGAAAGCATTGCCTTGGTCAGAAAGGATATACAAATTTTCTATATATATATACAGGAAATGGTTTTCCAATTTCATATTTACTTTCTTTGAAGGCTTTAGATTTTGCTTTTTTTTATCACCAAGTTAGGAGATATAAAGGTTGTCATTTCTTACGTGAAAATACGTAAATTATGAAAATTCTTAAAAATAATTAAATTGTTTAAAAAACGCGAGTTTCTGAAACTTTTTGTCCAAAAGAGAACGAATCCAGTTAGGCCATACATATATATATAAATATATATATATATTAAAAAAAAAAAAAAAAATATATATATATATATATATATAATATATATATATAATAAAAGCAAGAAAGAAAAAAATACATATATATATATACATACATACATATATATATATATATATATATAAATAAATAAATAAAATATAACCGATGAATTATATGAATTTTGCCATTTTTCTTATATGCTAAAACTAAAAAAGATGTTAATATTAAATAATTAAAGAGAAAAACTTTATTACCTAAAGAAATTGGTTTATATTTCCATTGTAATTTGAGTTTTTTTCGTCGCCTCCCAAAAAATTTCACCACGATCGAAAATGTGAAGGCGTTGATGTTGTAGTGATGATTAGATTGGCTTTGATTTATAGACTATGGTAGATGTGTGCAAAATGTATGTATATTTGTGTATATATGTATATGTGTGGAAGTATGTGTATGTTTTCAACGATAGATAGCTGCTTAAACATTAGTAACACAATTTGTTTTTAGGATACTTTAATGGGCTTTTTCTATTTTTCTTTATGGAGCTGCAGTTCACTTTTGCTCGCATGCTTGCTTGCTTGCTTGCTTGCTTGCTTTATAGCTGACAACATTGATTAACAATAGCGCTTGGAATTATTATCGTTATAGTTCTTCCACTAATTTATTTTGCGATTGTAACAACAACTAACAACAACAATTGTTGAACAACAATCAATAACAATAGAGTGCTTGAAGATGTGCAGATAGTATGTGGATAGGGACGATAGCCAGTATTCTATCTACGTAGTTAACAGTAACAGATAGTTGTTTTTGTTTTTTAATAACTAATTGTCATTAGTACTGGATTCCTCATTGAGCATATATTCCAAAAGCATTTCATAGTCAGGGACTCATCCTTCGTTTGTGCTACTGCGATGTGTACTGGTGTTACTGTTACTGCTGTTGCCGGTTACCCCACTACCACTTATGTTATGCGAACTATTGTTATTGTATTCGACAGGTGTGGAATTGGGTGATGTCTCCACTTTTATTACGCCTAAATGTGGTGCTTGTATTCGTAATTGTTGTTGCAATAAATGATGACCATTAGTACCACCTACACCGGGTGCTGGATGTAAACGACCCACCACCACACCACCCATAGTTACAAAATTACCGTCGTGTGTTAACGTACCACCGACCAGTTGAGCGGCATTAAGCGAACTCAACTCAAGTGTTTGAGCAGCTGTTGCTATATTAGAAAATGCTTCAAGATTGGACGGTGTGGCAGAGCCATTGCCAGTTGTGGCTATAATTGTTGTATTATTGTTTTGTAATTGTTGCTGGTGCTGCGCCAAAGTTGAGGTGATAATTTGACGATGATGTTGTTGTTGCTGCTGCTGCTGCTGCTGTTGTTGTTGTTGTTGTTGATGCTGTTGGTGTTGCTGCTGCTGCTGTTGTTGTTGTTGGGTGATAAGTTGTTGATGCTGATGATGATGTTGTTGTTGTTGTTGTAAGCCATTGGAAGAGGCCCCTGTAGCAACCACCATCATATCCTCTAGTCATCCTTCCTCCTCTTCGGTTTTGATCTTAACGGGCACATAAACTTTATCCATAACATGAATTTTTATGTGATTATTAAGTGTACTCGATTGACGAAATTGTTTCTTGCAGACGGCACATTCAAACGGTTTTTCACCTAATACCAAATCGGGAATAAATAGAAAATCAAAAAAAATTTGAATATTATATAATAAAATACTTTAAAATAATTTTGCTATTAAACTAGAGAAATCCGAAATTCGTTTTCAAAAAATCTGTGCTTTAAACTTTTATGCAATTATAACTTTTATGGATCGATAGGGTAAACGCGTACGTATCTTTCAATATTGAACTCAAAAATACTCAAAAAGCAATTGCAAAGTTGTTCAAACTTAAGTTTCTAAAATAATGAAAGTAAATTAATGTTTATAACTTTCTAAAAAAAAAAAGAAATGTCAGATATACTTTGCGCTATCGTGATAGTTTAATTAGATGTATAGAGACAGTAACTCACCGGTATGTATTTTTAAATGATTCGTCAGTGTGCTCAATTGACGAAAATTTTTCGGGCAATAGGTACAATTGAATGGCTTCTCGCCGGTATGTATTTTCAGGTGATTCGTTAAAGTGGACGACTGACGAAAAGTTTTATCACAAACATTACATTTGTACGGTTTCTCTCCGGTATGAATCTTTACGTGATTGGTTAGTGTACTCAATTGGCGGAATCGCCTTTCGCACACATTGCATTGAAATGGCTTTTCAGGTCCAGGTGTTGTAGGCGTAGGCGTACTGTTATGACCATTAGTCAAAGTGTTAGCTTCACGGGCAATAAAATGCTGTTCAGAAAGCGCGGGACTGTGTGCCGCAGTGGCCACTAAATGTGCGAGCTGATGCTGTTGCAATATGGCGTGGTGATGAGCCAGAGTGGTGCCGGATGATGCTGTATTGCCACCACCATTCGATTGTTGCTGCTGCTGTTGTTGTTGTTCGGCCGCTGCTGCCTGCACAGCGGCCGCCTGAGCAGCGGCCATTGCTGCAGCCTGAGCGGCAGCGTGAGCTTCGGCACTGACACCAGCCAAATGCATAAATGGTATTGGAATTTCAGATGGTGTATGAGCTGCGGAACCTTGCTGCTGTTGCTGCTGATGCTGTTGTTGCTGTTGATGATGATGAGTGTTACCACCATTAGTGCCACTGTTATCATTGTTATTATTATTATTATTATTATTATTATTATTATTATTATGGTTGGGTGATGAAGAAACAATAACAATCTCGCAATTAGGCATTGAAGCCGCTGCAGCAGCAGCATGAGCATGTTGCAGGCTTTTTATATGCATTACGATAAAAACACTATACCTTTTAATATTGACGACGGACTAAAAATTCAAAGTTTTTCTTTCTCTTAGTTAAAATGAAATATTTTGAAATTAAATGTTTTTGTTGTTTTTGTTGTTATAGTAACAACAAAATGAGAAATGATTGAATTCACTTATTCTTTTTTAAAAATTATATTTTCATTTGTTATCAGAACAAATGAGTGTCGAGCATTTACACACGACCATGGAAGGAGAGCAATTTAAAAACATGGACATCGCAAGGAGACGACATCTGAAAGAAATAAAATAACCGATTATCTGTGAGCACATAATCAGCTTTCTAATGAATTGTCGAATGAATGTAGAAAGATTTTGAAAATCCTTGGACATACGTAAAAAAAAAAAAAAAAAAGAAAAGGGAAACAAGGGATAAGTTATAGTCAGTTTGGAATGAATTTTCTTTTACCATTAGGTCATGTTGGAACAAAGGCAAACCTTAAGTAAGTATAATTATTATATTACAACATGTACTTGCGCGCATACAAGTCCAAACAACTAATTGAATGATAGTGCAGAAGTGAAGACGTATTGATTCACGATAGAATATTCGATTTCCACAAATGTGGTTACACTTAACCATAACAATTATATTTACGTACGACTTTTTATTTCGTCTCACATCTAGACGCGCTCTTGGAGAGATTCTCCTTGTTGCGTAATAGTGACGCTAAGAGATTCTTGAATTTATAAGAAAATAAGCAGAATAACAAAGATAATATATATTCATAATTTTTGGCTTTCCAAGATATGTTCCCTGCGCTACCAGCTCATATCGGCTAAATATTTACAAATCTATTAAATTCCTATAAAGGCTAATATTAAAAAACACGAAACATAAAACATAAACTACGGAATGAAATTTTGCTAGCTCGGAACAGGTTCTCTGCGTATAAATAATTTCACTTTCCTGGCTATTTCATCATATGCACAGATTGAGGATCCTTACTGCACTAAATCGTTTTTTTTTTTTTTTTTTTTTTTGTAATTGAAGCTTTCCATCTATTAGTCGACGAAAACGAGCACACGAATTAACACCAATTATTATTAATAAACATTTGGATTAGACTGAAACTAATATTATGTGGAAGGATTTGTCTATGATTATACAACGGAAACTGTATAATAAATAATAAGGCAAAAAAACAAAGATCACAACTAAACAACAACCTAAACTTTTGGCGGATTTGATGAAAGCGACAGAGACGATCTAGCATTGAGAAAAGAAAGCAAGCAAACATCAGCTGGTGTAACATGTGTCCACGCTTAGATAAACGCGATAAAAGAAAAAATATTGAACGCACAATTTCGATTACTCGAACGGTACTATATACATATAGATTTATAGGTTTATATATATAATAAACAATTCGATACTAAAATGTCTGTTATTTAGCAGGGTTGTGTGCTTCACAACTACATTAATATTTAGTTTCTGTTGTCGTCTTCTAATGTAAATGCCAACGTGTTGATCTTTTCATATAACACGATCTCTGCATAATTTTTCCCCTTTCTTAATAAGTACTATACAAACCAATACATACACACACATATTCACCGGCTAACACACACACACATGCACTTTTATTGTCACTACGTATACCAGCAACTGGTGACAAATTCAAATAAATGGTTAGTTAAATGAGTCTTTCTTCAATCTCTTGTATATGCGTGCGTGGTGTGTTTGATGCCTGATACAACATAACACGTTTATTTTTCATACGCACACACATATAGTTAGTCTTTTAAAACATCTTAAATTGTGTACGAGTTATAAGAAGCGGCGAAAGTTAATCACTGGCGGTTAAAAGCGCAATATGTGCTTTGAAGGTTTAAGGGTTTGAAAACTTTTCTGACTAAATACGACACAATCACAATCCGTGTTGACTATGATGATAAGAAATGGTCAAGTTCATATTAAATAAGCTAAGTACATGTTTTTGCGAACGGCATCAGTAATCTTTCTCACATATATCACCTTTAGGAAACATACCTTTTGGATAAAACAAGATTTACCACTTTGTAGATTAGCGTAAAAAAAAAGAAAAAAGAAAAATAGCAGAAACTAGCTTTTTCAGTACTTTCAGCATTAATAAATATGTGCAGCATGTTATTCGCTTCCGCTTTAACCACTAGCAACAACTTTGTGAATACTCTTACGTACATGTTTTATGAATTTTATAATTTGCAATTTTTTTTTTTTTTTTTTGAGGTTAGGCATAACATTTCACTTGCCATTGACGGATACTAGGGAAGTTGGATTTAGAATTTTTCGATTAAATTTAGTAAAAAGAAGCCAATTGAAAGTACACCTTTAAAAGAGATAAGACATCTTGTAACGAATTCATGGCACACCCGTGTTAAATTTTATTTTTCTCCTTTATCAACATTTCACTCGCTTTGCAAATAAAACACACACACAACATACACAACATACCCACTGGCTTGCACACGCAAACTTTCATATTAAAATAATTTCACGTTTCAACTTTGACCTACCTTACCACTTGCCTAAATTGCATTCAAACCGCTCTACCAGTTCTACTTTAAAATACGCGTTATCCGCCGCTCTCCAATAACGTTTTGCTTTTTGTTAACAAGGATTTTAAATCAGCTTAGAATATTCGATGAATTCTACGAATATCAATGCATTTTTTCTTACGGTCTTTGTGTTCTCCTTAGATTGGATTTTTTCAACTTTTTCTTTTCTCATTTCCTACCTCGGCTGTCGCTATTCAAGTAGCGCTTTGTCCTTAAGCGCTCTTGCTTAGTTTAGCACTCCATTTTAAAAAGATTTTTCATTAAATTCCCTTTTAATTTATTTAAGAAAATAATCTAAATAACTTTTCTTCACGGTTCCATGTATTTTCTTTAAAGAAATAAGAAGGAAATTACAACAAAAGCAACTTTTTTTTCCTATTCCTTTCTTATGGACAACTCAGTTTTCTTTTGACAGTTCTGTCGTATAGCTGAAGTTGTATGTTTGTTTAGAGTTGCCACGTTCTACAACCATTCTTAAATTTAGGACTTATATCAGTTTATCGAGCATATAATTGAGAGTTGGTTTAGGTTTTAAATAAATAAAAATAAAATACCTATACGAGAATGAGATGCAAACCACTTTTCCACTTTTGCTAAGCTTTTAAATATCGAATATATATAATCTCTTCGTAGGGTTGCTAATCGAAGTATGATTTTGAATTAATATAAAAACTATTCTGAAAATAATATTATGTTTACTTCAATTCTTACTCGATGCAGTTATAATTATAAAACTTATTGTTCATTAAAAAGCACTTCCAAATTTCACCTATCGTAAACTGTATAATTGTAACTAATATTTCTCATACAAAAACCAATTTTTTAGGCGTTACTAATTTGTAAATGAAACTCTACTAAATGAGTTTTTTTCCCTTTAATTAAGCAAATGCAATCCACTTCGTAGTGCTTTGACAGCTGGTGTATACTTTTACAAGTGGTGAAAAATAAGAATTTTAAGGAACTGCAGAATGAAAAGTAAATTTATTTTGAAAAATAGCATAGATAAGCTGAAAATTAACTTAGGATGGTAGTAACTCTTTAAAAATTAATTTGTAATCATAACGTTGTTAAGGTAAGTTGTAAAACATGATAACTTCTCTTATTAAGGTCTTAGAAAATATTTTTATATTTATTTAATGTAAACAAATGCATTTATTTTTTCAAAAAGGTAATTTCTTGAAATTATAAAATTGTGCAAACTTTGGAACTACCAGCTCTCTGCCCATTGATTGGTTGCAAAGCTAACTCATCTTCTTCCGTATAACGTGGCGGTTGATCTGCAATAGTACATAAAAGTGAGTATAAACAAGTGAATAAATATTCATCTCCTAACCGTCCTCTATGCGCGTTGATTTCTCATTGCGACAAGAAATATTTCTGGATCGCTCTTTTATATCGTGGAAAAATTGAGAAAGTTTACTTTTTTGCTTGTTTTCCTGATCAATTATTTGCTCCGAGTGCGCTTCTGCTGTCGGGCTAATAGTATTTACTTCCTCTCGTAACGTTGTTTTATCTTTAACTGACGCATCTTCAACTTCATTATCAAAAGGGTTGGTTTCGAATGGATTGTTTGCTGAAGGATGGGTAGAATTTGCAGAAGCTGTTGTACGTTCATCATCCTCATGGCCATTTATTGAGTTCGTTGTTAACTGGCTGTTATTTGATTTGTTTTGATTTTCCGTTACTGCAACTTGCAATTCAGTTTTCACTTTCTCTTCCTCTTCAAATTGAAAATCTTTTTGGGGTCTTTCGATATCCACCTTATTTCTCTTCCCTAATAGCAAAGAGCTTAAAGTGTTCTTGGCATCTTGCACTTCGGTGGATATTTTAGAGGTAACACTTCCAACCGCTTGACGTGTGCCATCGGCTGCCTTCTTTAACGCAGAACCCATGGCATCTTTTGCCTCGCTGGTTGCTTTGACCGCATTGCGGCCGACTTGTTCTAAGGCCTGGAAACCTTCTTCAGTAACTTTTGCTGCGCTATTACCCATATCCTCCACAGATTGGAGAGCTTCTTCAGCTTTTTTCTTAGAGGTTTCGGTTACCTTATCAATTCCGCTTCGAACTTCGGACGCTGCTCTATTAGCCATTGCCTCCAAAGATAATTTAGCTTCCTCCGCTTTTAGATCCGTTTTAACCTTATCTTCGACAGCTTCAAGGTCAACGTGTTCCGCCGTTTCTTTAGTTACGGTCCCAATTTCTTTCTTCAATTCTTTGCCTTCTTCAAATCTTTGTTCGATTTTGTTTTCCAAATCATTAATCAAGATTTCTGCTTGTTTTCGGATCTCAAAATTCTCAGTATCATCTTTGCTTTCATCATTAGTGGGTTTGTTTTCAAATTCTACTAAGTAAACTTGCTTTTTCACCTTGGACGTTACATCGATGCCGTTATTAATGAAGCGTATTTCATTTACTACCATGGCATGATCTAAAGGATCTGTGCTCTCACTAATTTCAACAGTAAGTTTGTCATCATCTTCGGTGGGTGGTGTGGCCATGGATATATTAACATTAGGCGCCGACGATTGCACTAAAAATAAACTGATAATGTTATGAATTGATCGCATTGAACAATTAACGAATCTCACCCGCATTTGTAGCTGTTGCTTCTTTTATATTTTCCAAGCTTTCGACTAAAGCTGGTGAAGTATGTTCCAGACAGTCTTCATTCATCGCTGCTTCGTATGATAAAGTTCGCAAAGGTGTTTTCCGAATTATACTTTGAGGTGAATCGCTAGCGTTACTATCAGGATAAGGAGTTCGAGGACGCAAAAGTCTTTCTGCGGACGTTATTTTCTTTAAAGTTTTCGTTGAACAGACACTTTTACACGATTCTACAGAACCGGTTGGAGAATATTTGCTATGTGCATGCGAGTATTCCTCTTGATAATTACCATTTTTAGCTGAATAAATGTTCTCTATATCCTCGTAGTTGAAGTTGTTATTATTATTTTCCTTGATATCTGTTAATATGTGGTTATTTGCTGGCGTACTTGGTTTTGAAATTGCTTTCCTTTTATCCGCTTGCTTGCTAATTTCATTAATGCTTTCCTCCCTATTATTGGTGATCTCATTTGCTACGCTATTAGCAGTCATTAAATTTGTTGCAGTTATTGGTGCTGCGAAATTTTGTGCCATATATTTTTGTTGATAATCTGAACTTATTGTAGCGAACATAGTCGACGATCTTGGTATACCATGCACCAATATATGCCGATCTCCTAAAGTCATATCCACCAAACGTAAATTTTTAAATTTTGATATTTCCCTAAATGTCTTCAAATGATGGCCACTTTCTGAAAATGTTGTATAGAATTTATTGGCTTTTGTTAGCACTGCATAAAATGATGTCCCCTTGAGTATCTTCCAAATCGGTCCATTTTCCTCACTGTCGTAATCGTAGAATCGTTGAAATATTAAGCTTTTAGCTCGAACCGATTCGAAGCTACGGTAAATACTACCGGCATTTGTGACAATAAATACATCGCTGCACTTAGATATATGCATATATATTATTTGCTCATTGGATGAGAGGTTTTTTTTGCAATTCTGTAAATTGTGGAAACACAAAATCGTTTAGATGGCCCGTTAAATATAGATTTCCATTTTGTGTTAACACCATTGTCGATTCCGGGCCACAGGTAAATTTTTGTACTGGCGATTCTAAGATAATTTCCTGGGGCTTTAATATCGATTCGCGATTTGAAAGACCCAATTGATAGGATTTATTTGAACCCCAGCCTATTAATCGTCCGTACGCTAAAAATAGAATTAATCTATAATGTATTAAAGTGTTAAGCCCATTGAGAATATATCCAATTATCGCAATGATTGGCTCTTTTGATCATTCCGACTTCTATAGGATGTGCAGAACTTCAGTGAAGAATAGATTGCACGTACAATTAAGTGCAAGGGGCTTAGAATGCTAATAAAATATTTTGCAAATAATCAAAAAAAAAAAAAAAAAGCCGGTATTTATCTTGGGCTAAATATAAGACCCCATTCATTTATGTGCGATATTGCATTGCGAAATACTATCGTTTCTCCTGTTCTATCGTTTGACACAGCAGTCGTACGTCATATTATAATAAAAAAAATTTTTAATACATTTTTCGAATATATTTCAAGAAAAGGTAAAATTGTACTTCTTTTGTTACTTTGCTATGCATCGATTCGTTTGATTTTTGGATTTAAAGAGAGAGGGCGGACTCGTTTTTCCAGACCGGGAGTCGAGTCGGATGTTCCGCTGATTAAGAATATTTGGCTATGTGTACTATACTATATGTGGTGTCCAACGTGTATAAATGTGCATAACAATTATTTTGTAATTCTAACATAAGCGTCTTAGTAGATATAGAATAATTCATCTTTTAAAGATAATATGTAGTAATTTATATCGAAATATTTCCTTTTAAAGGCCTTTAAAAAATATTTTTAAAACAAATATATTTCACACGCGATTTATGCATTTTTTTACACGTCATGTATACCTTTGTCCAATCACTTCCTAGTCTTCCCCTCTAAAGTAGCGTTTGTTTTTTCAATTGAAAGCGGTAGGTTAACCTTTTCATGCCGTGCCTTAAATAATCAATAATTATTATTGTCTTTTTTTAATTTTCATTTTTAAACCTGTTGTATTGTCTATATGCAATTGTCATGTTTGCTCTTTAAAAAAAAAAAATAAAAAAAAAATAAAAAATAAAGAAAGGTTTTATGCACAATGAAAGCAGAAAATTAAGTATGGAGTGTACTTACATGTCAATACCATGAAATGTTCATTTCCTGCTAAAATGTTTATAAAGTTTTCAGTTTCTTCATTGTTAGACAAACAGTCATCGAACTTTACCGAAGCAACAGTTAATGGAGATCTTTGCGAAATAATACGTAAACCTTTTAGACTAGAAGAGTTCGATGAAACTGCACTTGGCTTAGTAAATATGTTACGACCCGTAAAGAAAATTTCATTAGAATCTACAAAGAAAAAGTCTCATCGTATTATTAATTGCGAGATTTTGTTAAAAAGTACTTAGCTTGAACTTACAGGTTAATATAGCGGACCAATCCGTTCCAAAAGCTAAATCAGCTATTTTTAGGCCCAATAATTTTAGAGATTTGACACAAGTGGGCTTGATAATGACATCGCCGCTATTATTATTAGTGATATGACTGCTGTTTCGATTAACATTAGCCGCACTGTGACTACCAATGCCAAGCTGACCATAGTGATTCTCTCCCCAAACAAATAAACGTCCAGATTCTAAAATGAGTAAAAGTGGAAAACAGAATTTTTGTTTTTCCTTCTTACCATTCGTTCTCTTCTTCTTCTTTGTCTTCTTTTTTTTGTACTATTTTGTGCATTTTGTTTTCATACATTTCAATTTTACAAATAGATTTGATTATGGAAATAGAGCTTACTACACATGCCCTAACCTTTTTACTTGAATGACAGACCATTCTCAACCATTCTTATTTGGTATGGAAATTATAATGAATATTAATGCAAATTTGGGACAAACATAAGGCAATCATTACATGCACAAGGGCTGTTTACATGAGTTGCGTTTATGTGTGTTTATTTTTTAATTTATCTGAACTTTTGTGCTCCCAATGGAGTTTAAAATGGAATGTCGCTGAAAATATTTGCATCAAAATTAGAAATGCACTGCTGATACAGATACTGATTGAAGGGAAAACCACTGCAAATTTTTCAGAAAAAAAAACATTTTTTTTATTAGTATAATAGATGCTTTGAACCTTTCAGAATTTATAGAAAAAAAAAATCGTTATTTGGAAGAAATTTTTTTTTGGAAATTTGGCGCTTTGCTAAGACTGTAATCAAAAAAAAAAAAAATTCACAAGTCCAACAAAAAATATCTTTATAATAAATCTATTATAATCTATCTAATCTATCTTTAAAATAAATCTATTCGGAGAAACACGTAGGATATTTTGATCTTAATTTAAAAATTTTTAAATGATCAAAGATTAGCTTCTTTAAATATATGGTTACTAACTTTGTCGAGTTTTATTATTTGATGACTTTCCCTTCTATCACGGAATAATTTCATAAAAAACGTCTTCTTTTAAATTGTTCGATTGTTCATTTCTCTGCTTAGTATGGTGAGGGCATCCATCTTTTTTTCTAATTGTTTTCATATATTCCAAGAAGAAACACATCGACGAAATCATGATTAAGAAGATACCTGAGGACAACCCTTTTGCCTAGCGTAAAACTCGTTATACTTGTCCTACGGACACTTAAGGTTCTTTAAAAAAAAACGATATATTTACCGCCAAGAAATCGACTAATGTCATCATTTGAGCTTACATCGAACGAATTTTGTTCCAGATAAAGTTTACTTTTTTCAAAGCCCGAAATATTACTTCGTTGTAGAAAAAATTGCAGGGAACGCACTTATAGTGATTTTGGAAAACAAATTTAGGAAATGCTCTTTTCGCTGTACTATGGCATAAATTCTGCTCTACGATCGTAGTTTACTTCGAAAGAATTAATAAAATCTTCATACTTCATTGCAAAATATTACTTTGATAATAGGTTGATCAAAAACTCGCCAATTAAGAAAAAAAGAGTATTTTGGCTTTTTTCCAAATTCTCATATCTGATTCATAGTCCTCTGCAAAGGTGATACAATCAGTTGAACTCTCCTTTACACTTTTCAATATATCCTACGCTACTTGTGGTATAAGCATGTGTGCGAAAGAATTTAAGGCGGACCCACCTTTCATTATACCGATCGTTTCAGTATCACATCCTGGATCGATTTATGCAAGTCGATTTGTCTGTCCATGTCTTCTTGTGTTCAACTTATAGGCTGCAATCGGACGACCATTTTTTCGACCGCTCTCCATATAACGCCTTATTTCGATAAATTGAAAAAATAGTGTAATTTTCAGAACTGCACGATAAGAATCACCTAAGCAATAATAACTCGACATTCTAAATCGGTTTGAAAACTTAGGTTCGGATAGGGCAATGTTTTGGACCCCCTGCCCTATAACCGGTGCTACGGAAATTGAATCTTTATATGGTAAAAAGGCCTAATTTTTAATACTTCTTGATGAAAATTCGTTCATAATAATTTAACATGAAAATTAGCCTAAACGAATTTGGAGTCAAAGGTCTACATGATTGGTTTCTCGCCCATATAAGGATTTTAGTGAAAAATAAGCCTTTATATGCCAAGAGGGTTTAATTTTTAATATTTTACGATGAATATGAATATGAATAGTGAATTAATCATAGGGAATTTGAATCACTTAGATCTATTTTTCAGACCACGCCATATATAGTGCTTCTAATGAAAGCAAAACGGTCTTTAGCGACAACGACTAATTTGTGAGTTCTTATGAGGGAAGTCATTGCAAAATTATAAAATTTTTAACAAGTAAATTAAGTTAAATTTGAACCACGTGAGCCGACGTTTTGAGTATGCTCCAATATAAGATATCTCTCATAAAAATTGTGCATTTACATAAATGTAGTATATAATTTTTAGTGAATTATTGAGAAAATGAGTGAATAACCGTACTAGGCGAACCGATATAGGGTATCCAACGGTTGACCTTGCCCGATTATAACATTTTTACTTGTTTTTTTGACAGAAATAGTTTGCGACTTTCTCGTGAGATAAGATGAAGCTGTCGGGATAGGGCATATTGATTGTTAACTTTGTGTGAGTGATCTAATGTATGCGTAAATTTTTATAGTTTTGTGTGTTGTAGTCTGTGAGTAATAATCAAAAAAAAAAAAAAAAGCAAAAATTTATTTTTACTTCTGAAAACTGGGGTGTTCTCAGTTTACTTCATAACGTAAGTCTATCTGTCTTTCGACCGGTTTGGTCCATTTTCAATACCAACGTGCGTACAAGAACTTCCCACGTTTCTGCCAAGTTTGAAAATTAATTTTTGGCGGCCTGGAACATATTTACAACAGATATTGCACATGCGCACAGACGGATGTACTTAAATTGATACAGCTTTTAATGCTGGCCAAGAATAAATACATGATGTGGGATGTCTGAAGCTCCCTGTGTGGATGTCGTAAACAATTTCACAAAATAAATATACCACTGCCCATCATTAGTGGCTACAAAAAATTACAATATTTGCAAGTGCTCTGCAAATGATTTCAAATTTTGAGTTGTTGTTGTATTATTTACAAGAACTTATATCTACAAAGTTTGAATCCTTGTTCTGGTTTTGTCCTGACTCGACCGACTTTGCTTTTCGCAAATATTCGGCTTATATACAACCAAGTTACAAGAACCTAATTTCATCCTGACATTTTTGTGCTAATCCTCTTTCCGTAAATGTTCTGCTAATTCGCCAGTTTTTCGCCAGTTGTCATCTGTATGAGACTGGTAAAGCGTCATGAATGTTTATTTGGCTTGCCCTTGATTTGTGAGCAAATCGATTAGTTTTCATGCAAACTCAAATCAACAAATTTAGGATTTCCGTAAAAGTATGTAAGGCTGCTAATAGGAAAATATATTAATATTCAGAGTTCACTAGAATCACTTTTGTATGTAAGTATGCAAAGCAACAACAATGCAGATAACGAAATCCTTTGAAAGCTATATTCGCTAGAGAGTCAAATTTCAAGGTCAAAATATAATTTTTGTCTTTCTTTATAAGTATATTGAATAACTATTTTATTTCCATAACCTATTTGTTCAAAAAGTCTAAAATCTGGTATTACACGCGATTTTCCCTCTTGCAATGATCATGAACGAAAGAGACAAACACATCGGTTATCGTACCTGACGTAAAAGCAAAATAACTTTAGACTACAAATATTTAATTTATTGATATTCGTCCCCGTGAACTGGTTTGTTGATATATGCAATTTACAAATTGTAGCGAATTAATTACGTTTCGTTCAAATTATACAGTTATAATAGTCCGCCAAGCAAAGAGTTGCTTTGTAACGATTTCAAATTATGTAATTATAGTCATAGTGTTGCTGTGTAACTTTTTTCGAAAATTATACTAAATTAATTTAAAAAGTATTGATCGTAAGAGTTAAGATATGATCGAAGATATCTCCAATATCAAATATGTATTATATGCAATAGTACGGGATACTAAAAGTCTTTCCAATGCATTTTGTATACATCTTTCATTTTAATTTTAAAAGTTTTTCGAATCATACAATGGAAAGGAAAATTTTATGTAAATAAAATTTTTTAACACTTCATAGCAAAGAACATAAAAAATGCCTTCAAACATTTTGGGTTAAGAGAAAAAGTAACATAAATCTTAACGATCTGCTATAAGATGTAACCTATGTCATCGTATTCAAGTAGTCCAATGCCTAGCAATCTACTTTAGTTGTAATGACGGTTACACTTCTCTTTAAAATTCGTGATAATTTTGAGTATGTGGCACCAACAAATAATCATTATTCGCGACATGTTATGATTAATTGTAAGTGAAAGTTTCTGTAATCTCTTAATAATCGTCAGTCAGTAATTACTAGTAACATGCGAAAAAGTCTTATAATTTACATGTAGCTGTGTAACTAGGAACCATAAAAAAAAAAAAAAAAAAAAAAAACACGAAAATTTTACAACAATCTTAAGGGCATGTTTGCCTACAATATTAAAAAGCGCGCAATTGAATATTTGACCGAAATTACCTCAAATGTTTTTACATTAATTCCATTTTGTTTATATATATATATATATATATATATATGAGAAATTCTATTAAATTTGTCATTCTTTTCGTAACGGCAATGATTTTGGGAACTTTTAAAGGCTACGTATTCATAATTATAAAATTTGCCTGAAAACGTGCAAGACATGAATGCGAAGCTGGAGATAAGAATGGTGGAGAAATGTTTCATTTATTAATTAAACACTGGCACCTAGTAGGCTAAACAATAATATTATATTAGGTGTTTGCAAAAATTGTAATCAGTTTTTCACTTGAAAAAGTTTTAGTGTCAAAAATCGGTACAATATATATTAAATAAAATATTTTCCATCATTTTCTACAACATTTTATAATATTGGTTTGGCAGCGATCCATCATTTCGCACTTCTTCAACTTTGCGGACCCTTGTGCCAGCGAAGTCATGCTGCACCCATCTGAACAATTGGTAATCAGGGGGCGCCATATCTGGTCAGTACGCTGGATGTCGCAGAACTTCTCTTTCGACCTACAACAGTGTACTTTGGACAACACTTGCAACGAGTAACGAATAAATTTAATTTTCAGCCAATTCGTGTCGTCAATTTTAAACCGATGGACCGACCGACCGACCGAATCTAAAACCGACAATTGGTATACCCGAAAGTAATGAATTTGACGAAGAATCATTAAAGAAAGAAACATTAAATCGAAAACTGTTATTTTATGTGGAGAGTGTGAAATTCAACCTTTATATACGCTGGTATTTCCCATTTCTTTATCATTTTTACCTGAAAAAGTCGCTGATTAAAATTACCGCAAATATCTAATAGATTCAAAAATTATTGAAAATTCTTGCGATAAGTTGCAAATAGATTTTTCGTTTGGCCATTTCGATCGTATGGCTTACCAAAATCCCAATTATATATGCATCATAAACATCAGTCGTGTTGTAAGCGAATGTATACACATTTTTTTAAAGCACTTAGCTTGACTTATATTTTGGCCAGATTAAAAATATTGGAATTAGTAATGTGGGACAGTCAAGAATATAATTAATATATGTTCAAATAGCAAAATATATTCCATATATCAGAAGACAAAATACAGTTAAGAATAAACTATGTTTTGATATTTGAAAATATTTATATCATCAAAATTTTTTTTTTATTTGGTCCCCTATCCCTCTGCACTACTGTACTGTACGTAGATTGTTCCGACGGTGAACAGTGCGGTTGAAGAGAGCGGGACCAGTATGAGAAAGTTCAGTCCCCATTTGGCGTAAATTTCTTTTATTTTTTCTTTGTAGGACAAATAGCATAGAGGTGGTAGCTATGCGTAAACAACTTAGGACCGCAAGAGTGTCAGTGGTTTTTGAACTACGCGCCTCAGTCATGAGTATATGAGCGTTCAGACAAGATGCCCGAAAGACTGCATTATCTCTGTTCAATAGGCTAATCTTTAATGCTAGTGGTAGTGATTATTAAATCCGTAAACAATTCTATTTTTATGCCTTCCATGGAAATTTCCAATTGTAATACCAAAAACATATCTCACAGATTTAAAAAAGTGTAAATAGCCTTGAGTAGGGTAATCTGCAGAGTAGACTAAGCTATGCTCATTTATATGTCCCTACGGCTTATAATTTACGGCGGCACTAGGTGAGGTAGTGAACTTAAACTTTATATATATATATATTTATATATATGTCGAGTTTAGCCCACAAAGTTCAAACGAATGCATTTCTCCATACCTTAATTATTAAAATATTTTCATAAATTAGGTTAAAGGCACTCTAAGGCAAATATCACTTTCTTGCTTTCTTCTTAATCCGATTTTTTCCTTTTTCCCTTTTTCTTATAAACATAAGCAATTGTTCTTGAAGACAAATGTTTTTGAGGTGGGTTTGAGGTGACATCGCTACTTTACTTTTTAATGAGAGTAAATAATCGCGTTGTTGTGAAATATGCTTTATTTATATAATAAAGTTTACAAAATGCAGGTCAAATTCCTTAAAGATTTTGACTAAATACACAATAACGTATCGAAACCTTATTTAGTAGTGTAATTATTATTACCGCAAATTACTGCACTTTGGTGTGGTCCTGCTATTAGCCTTTTAATGGGATCATTTTTAATGTAAAAATAGCTTTGGGTGTTTTCAGCTAAATGGGATTTTCCCAGTGTAAATATCGCTCCGGTATTGGGTACATCCATATTTGTTACCTTTTTTCCTTTTTTTTTTTTACAATATTTTTGTTTTTTTTTAAAGATTTTTTGCAAAAATCTTTAGAAACTTTTACGTAATACACTTTTAATTACTCATTAAATTATTAATGTCTTCAATTGTTGTTTTATAGAATAGTACGCAAATAATCAGAAGATTATTATTTTCCGATTTGTTATTGATTTCTTAAAAAAAAAATTATTTATTTATTTACTAGGTAGATATACTGGCCTATTTTCAGGCGTTTTTTTTTGTTTTTTTTAAAGAAAAATAAATTAACAGTTAATTCACATATGTCTTTATATTGTTTTCTTTATGCTTTCCTTTGCTTTCTTATCTTAATACTGTCGCGTGTATGGTCAATACAACGTCGCTTTTTCAACTGGTCAGTCGGTTGGTTAGTTAAATTAGTTTATGTCCTGCTTCCTAGCTTAGAACTATGCTAACGTTTAGTTTAGTGTTTACTTGACCGTTCTAACAAACAATGGTAAACTAAAACGGGGAAAAAGGGAAAGAGAAAACTGCAAATAGAGAAGGAAAGGTAGAGAAAATAGAACATTTGTTGTCCGTGCAATTAACTTGCTTTCTTTTTCATATTTTTCCATGTCCCGTTTCAGTGCTTAGTTAAAGTTGGTCATTAATTATAAAAATTGTTCAACGCTTTCTGGTTCGTGTTCCCTTTTGGTTTATGATGACATTTTTTTTGTTTTTCTTTTACTTCACTTGATGAAGGATTTTGACCTTTGCAGTTTATAGGTTAACTTTTATCCCTCCTTCCCCCCTAAAAAAAAAAAAAAAAAAAAAAAAAAAAAATTCCATATTAAAAGTCTTTTCAGTTTTAGTTAAATTCTAAGGTTAAATGTTTATTAATGGCAACTATAAGTGCTGTGTAAAAATGGAAAGCAGTAAGAAAATCTTTTGAACAAAAGAAGTAAGAAAAGTGCGCGTCTTAAGGTATACCAAATATATGGATATATTAAGGTAAATATATTAATGTTCAGTTGGTTTTTTACCGTGCGGCGAAATACCAAAAAACATCCGTTAGGAACATTGTATGGCATACACTTGTGCCTGCAATCAAATAACGCTTGCATTAATTCTTTATATATCGCCGGACCATTTAAACATTATATGCTAAATTTCTCTTGCCGCGTCCACAATTGACTTTGCATTTTCTTATTAGCAATTGAATGTGAGGGTTACGGAACAAATACAAATTTTTTACTTACTTTAATTATAAATGGGACTATTGGACTCATTTTCATCTCCGATAAACGTTCTCACTTCAGTTCAGACCAATTCATAATTGGGTATAATTTGTCAGAGGTAACTCCTACAGTACAACATAAAGAAAAACTAAAAAAAATTTGGTATTTTCACTCATTACTCACAAATTACAACAACAAACCAATTTTTGGGAATTGTTGAAGGTTCTACAGTAGCTCTACAAAAATGGAAAAGAATGGCTCAGACCGCCCAGGTATCGAATTTTCATTTGCTTCGAGTTTTGCTGTAAGATGAAAGGTATCGAATGTTTGGTCGCAGCCATCCGAATACCATTTTTTTTTTTTGTTTTGGGGGAAATCTGAACGACTGTAACATGTGTTACTAATTTGTCGTGAAAGTCTTATATTAAACAGTTTAATATTTGAGAGAGCACTAGTATCACGAAGTTCTATAAAACGCACCATAAATAACTTTAAAAACAATAGAGTACGAAAATTAAATTCGATTGTGATCGACAAAGTTTTGTATATCCGCCAGCTTTATTTTAAAGACGATAAAAAAAAAACAAATAAAAAAACTTAATTTTCTTGCTTTATAATATTGAGTGGGCGTGACTGAGAATGTCTATATAGAAAATATTTTTATAGTGTGTCGGTTGTAGTGTACGAGCAACGGCGGTATATTTATATTCGCGAACGGGAGAATGCTTGCTGTACTCTTACACACAGACAGACGGATAGACGAATACGCTTATATCGATTCGGCATTTGATGCTGACCAAGCACTGTGTGAGATCTGTAAAGCTTCATTCCGGTTGTAGCGGAAGTTTTGACAAACTGAAAGTACTCCCTATTCTTCGTTGATGTGGTATAATAACGTAAGAAATTTTTACTTGGTTATTGCCGAATCTTTTATATTTATTAAGCTTACTTCGAAAAAAGGAAATTTAGCAAAAGCGAAAAAACAAAATCTCGATATTCTATAATAATATTAGATGGACATGTCCGGCTTTTTCCATTTTTGTACAGATATTGTAGGATCGGAATATAAGCATAAATTTTATACTGTATCTGTTGTAGTTTATTTTTCATGGGCAAAAAAGTCTTTATTATACAATGGCCGTGCCCGTTGACCAGTTTGGCTTATTCTTAATACCATCCTGCATTGGAAGAGCTTCAAATGTTTCTACCAAAGGCGAGGCCGATAGAGTTATTTTTGCAGTTAGGAGAACTTTTGCGACAGAGATTACATAAATGGTCTGACGGACATACTTAAATCAATTCAGAATGCGATGTTGATCACAAATATATACTTATTTTATTGGGTCGCTGAAGCCTTTTTTTTTTTGCAAGCCTTTGCGTTGCAAACGTTTTGACAAAATGAATGCAACTCCACCTTTCAGTGATGGGTATAAATATGTTTTCTTCATATTTTTGCAGATTGCGTGTGTGTGTAGCGTTAAACAAAGATTTTTTTTTTATATATATTTTCCGTTATCTTCTACTATGGGCCGTCAACTTTTAATGGTTTCGATTCAACCTAGTTGAAGAATGCATTTGCGCTTAATATTTCAGTTTTATGTGGCTATGATTAGGTTGTAGGTTATCACGGATGTTTATAGTTGAGGATTTAAGTGAAAAGTTCTGCTTTAAAAAAACTGTATCCTGTACATTGTTTCACTCAATTCTGGTTTTTATATCCATCGCGGTAGGATTAGGGGTACATTCATTTTGTCAAAACGGCCAAAAAAAAAAAACTGCAGAGACTCCACAAAGTATATATATATATATATATGCTTTATCAGCATAAATTCTAAATCGATTTAGGCATGCGCGTCTGTCCATATGACTGTCTGTCCGTCGATGTAATGTCTATTGGCCGCAAAAATGAAGCTATCGATTTCAAATTTGGCAGAAACTTTGAAAGTTCTTGCATGCAGCTTGGTATTGACGATGGGGCAAATCGGTTGAAGGACGAGGCCATAGCATCATGTAAACGGAGACCATCTCTGAAAAATTGGTTTTTTGCTCATCATTCATAAACTATGGCAAATGAATGTACAAAAATTTGAAAGCACATTCTATGGGCAATGCTGTAGCATCAGTGTATAAGAACGTAAAAAAATTGACCATGCCTACCCAATATGATAGGTTAACAACATTTAATTATTTTTCCAATGCCTCCATAACACACAGAAACAAGCTTCAAATTCTTGGCCAGCTACAACCCTTGAATGTGTCGAAACATGTCCGCCTGTTTGTCTGTCCATCTGTCTGTTTGCGTAACTTTGTAGTATTTGCGGTAGCCATTCTCTCGTTAGCGAAAATAAAGATAACGTTCGCCTAAAAAATTTGCACCTAATTGACTTAAATTTTTCAAATGATACGCCTACAACGCTTACATGCCTTTACAACAAAAACTTTTATTTTGAAAATAGAAGAAATCAACTGTGCCCGCTCCATGTTTTAGCGCATGAAAATTTTGTTCTTTTACTTCTTTTTGGTTTTTTTTTGGGATAAACGGTTACGGGTACAAAAGATCTCGACTGAATTGAAATTTCTCATGTGTTTTTTTTTCTTTCAATTTTCTATGTTACATCCTTCTTATATCATGTGCAAAAAAAAGGGTGTGCGTTAACTTTTTTATTCGATATCCAACACCCTTACGCATATATATTCTCAACATTCGTTCATTCACATAACTGATGTTGCAATTCTTAAGTCGACTAAAAGGAAGCCATAAAATTAAAGTTTATTACACACTGTCTCAATATAATTTTCAAAACTGAATTTTCATGATTTTTATACGTTACACGACTTGTAGTAGGAGGGTATATTAAGTTTATGCGAATGTATGCGACACCCAGAAGGACTTGAGATAAGACACCCTTATATGATACTGACCGATGCGAAATCATTGTCTGATTTTATTTAAGAGTCTTTGTCCGCCTGTCTGTCTATCCGTCTTGTTTTCCTGTTCTCAACGTACAATTCCGAATTTTTGATATATTTTGATGGACGTCAAGTGTTTTGGTCCAAGGACGAACGGACCAGTTTTTGGACTCCGTCCCATGTGAATCGTCATTTTGAAAGATCGTTATATGAATAATATTATGGTGGGAATTTAATAGTGTGTAGAAACAATATTTAGATTTTCTGATTTTCGAACATGACGCGAGGATTTTCTTAAACAAACTTTGATGACACAGCACTTAAAGCTCTAAAGTAAAGGCTAAAGGCCTTTCCTAAAGAAAATGGTCGGTTTTTGCTATTCACGGCACATTCTTTATGGAATTTCTGTTGCATGCATTAATGTTTAGCAACGATTTTCTATCGAAGGTGCGATTTGAATTTTTCTGAAAGCGATATATGACATACTATATTTTAACTATGAAGATATAGTGGATAAGTAAGGATTCGCCTAAAGCCGAATAATAAAAAATTTTTATTCGATTTTGTTATTTTTCAAATTGGTATGCATAGGGCAATGTCCTATTTATTGTTATTTAATGGCATGTAGTACTGGTTTGTTATTCTAGCCATTAAAACAAAAACATGACCACTACCAACGCAAACATTGCTAGCCTACGGATACTTGCAACCTTTGTATGAACATAAAAAACTATAGGAGAGGACAAAAGAATATTTTTAATTTAAAAAAGGTTAACACTTTACAAAAATGTGAACAGTTGAACCTATTTTTGTTGCTTTTCCTTTTACCATAACCGCAACGACCACGCTACTAACCCAGTAACAAAGTTTTTTTACACCGAATTGCTTGACATTCTTTAACATGACTAGATAGTGTCGTTTGATGATAGCATTTAAACTACTTCGCAAATAAAATTTCTTTGTAAGCATTTCAAAAAGCAAACATTTTAACTTAATGAAGCTCGGTAAGAGTAAGTTCCTTAAACATAATTAAATAAAAATGCGTTGTATTTAAAGGTGCGTGTAGGGATCAAATATAATTATTATTTTTGCTAAAGGAAAAATATAATCTTTATACCCACCACTGAAGGATTGCGGTATACTCATTTCGCTTTTTTTTTCACGATGTATGTAATATCCAAAACTAAGATTCAGAGACGCTATAAAGTGTATATAGTCTTGATCAGCGTGAAATTTTGAATTGAGTAAGCCATGTCTGCCCGTCTGTGTGATGTTTCTTGCGAACATACTCCTCGTCGCAAAAATGACGATATCGACTTCAAATTTGGTAAACATATTGAAAATTTTTGCTCGCAGGTTGGCATTGAAAATGAGCCGAATTGGTCAGAGCGGAGTAAGTATAAACTGAATGCAACTCTGTTTTTCTTAAGAAAAATTTTGTAGGTTTTTGCTCGTTACTCAGAAATTGTAAAATTCAAAAGGATGAAATTTTCCACATTCACTTTACGAAGCATTTTATTCTCTGCGTGCAAAAATGGAAAAAAAGCGGCCTCATACCCACACAAAGAAGATATATGCGATATGAGTATCAAATAAAAGAACTTAGTGAGTAGAATGCGAAAACCATTCAACTTTTTTATTTATCAAAACTTCAAAAACTATTAACGGAAAAAAAAAACATTTTCAACAACCTGTATAAAAAACCAACTTAAAGTATCTAAACATTATAGTATATATATATATATATATATGTATATATGCACAGTGCGCTTTACAAGTTCTGTGACCTTTTCATTTGCAATTTTTTGTTCTACTCCTATGTAACACCTTTACATATTGAGTCTGTGCAAAATTCGCTAATGAATATTTAACAGGTGATGTTTGCAGTTGCTGAGTATGACACTAAAATTTGTAGCGAAAAAGTAACTATCAAGATCCTTAACACATACATAGTTGCATTATATTTTGAATATGGAATAAAAAATCACTTTCCGATGCATTTTGTTTTTCTTAATTCCGAGAAGACGAACGCCTTTGAAAATTCTTGATGAATCCATAGATTTTTGATTTGCAATAAGGTCCTCCTTACTCCAATCGGGAAGTCTTTAGTGATTTTGATAAAATTAACGCATTAATCGAGCTCAGACATAAATCTAACATTGTTTAGCCACATTTTACGTTTGAAATTAATCTGATACATGCTACGCGCTTGTGTGTTATCATAATAATGATAAGTAATATTAATAGCAAGAGAAGGAAATATTTTATTCTGAACGATTTTCGATTAAATTAGATAAGCTTATGTATGTCAAGGAGCATGAAAGTAAATTGAAAATATTTTCCATTATTTCAGACATTGGTCGGTAATTCACTCGCGGCCGAGACCAGCACATGTGTAGATATCGTTTTTCACAAAAACGTTTTCCACATTAGTTTCTACAAAGTGATATTCTTTCCTTAAACGACAAACAAAGTGATATTCTTTTTGTGTTTACGAAGTGATTAAACATTGCTTTACTGCAATACTTCAATATTGGTAAAGTTCAGCGGTGGCTTCAAAAGTGTTGTGACAGCTTTTCGTCGTCAAAAACATTAATTTGTCGTTGCTTATGCTGGTTGTAAACGAAAATGTACGAGCACTTAATTTGCTGATTATATAAGAAAAACTACGAGCACCTGTGTTTTCCGTGCTTTTTACTTGTTACTCATAAAGTGCAACACAAACCCTACATATATTTCCACTTTGATTCTAAAAATAGAAAAAAACAATCGCGCCCACCCAATCTTATAGAATAGGAAAATTTTGTTGTATTCTTTTTCTTTAGGATAACGGTGATGGGTGTAAAAAATTCGGTCACGACCAAATATAATTTTGTTACTTGTTATTCACATTTTCATTTTGTCCCACTGGGTTTACGGAGATTTTCTTTTCTGGACCCTTGGAATGGAATTTGTCATATATGAATATTCATAGAATTCATTCAGAGACATAAGTCATGCCCCGAATTTTAATTCGAAAAATTGTTTCATACAATTTGTATATTATTAATATAAAAAAATATGCAAATCGTTACAGTAAAAATAGGTGGTTACTAACTTCACTAACTCTTCTTCGAATGCAGTTTGTGAAGTGAACTTCGATTGTCGTTCTACTTATTTCCTCAGTGTATTTCAGTAATAGTTTCTTTATAGTTTTTTTTTTTACCTTACCTCTCTGTGATAGATTTGAATTGAATATTTATTTAACCAACTTTCATTTTATGATAGATGATATAATCTCTTCGTCTTAATTGAAATTTTACGATTTAAAATTTTGCTTAATGTTTTACTTTCTAGTTTTCGTAATTTAAAATGGCCACAGAAAGTGTAAAATGTTCTGTTGTAGCGGAAAATGAAGAAGAACAACTTGAGTCTGCCGACACCACGGAAAAGGTAACGCAAGTATTGGATACTTTCAGCGAAACGAAAAATCAAACGGAAGATCAATTAAATGAAGAAAACCCAGTAAACGAGACACAAGAGATTGTAAATGCGAAGAGTAATGATGAAGAGAGTAAAAGTGAAAATGTAACAGTAGACGAACGAATGGAAACGAATTTTCCTGATAAACCTAAATCCGATTCAGAAACTAAAGTTCCAAATACGAAGCATGAATACGAAGAGTATATAAGTTATGATGCAGATGGCTGTGCCATTTATACAGATCCGAACACTAAATGTCGCTATACATGGAGTTCTGTTAAAAACACTTGGACACTATGTAATGAAAAATTAGATGGTGATAACAAGACCATATACGAAAACGAACATTATCGTTGGTGTAGTGAAACTCAAAAATGGTTACCCAAACAAGTTAGTCAGCGGGAACAACAAACCGAAACTGAACATTATAAATGGAACGCAGAGAAACAAGCTTGGATACCGAAACAATTATCAGAGAAATCATCAGGTGCGGCTAACGAAGCTCGCTACGACGTCGATGAAGATGGTCAACGGATTTACATTGATAAAGATGGTAGCATATTTTTCTGGGATACTGAAAAAAATGCTTGGTTTCCGAAAATTGATGATGATTTTATGGCCCGATATCAAATGAATTACGGTTTTAATGACCTTAAGGAAAATGATCAAAGTGAAGAAGAAACCCGAAATTCCCAAAATGTTGCCATTACAAAAAGCGAAGAGCCAAGAGAAACGGAAGAAGTTAAATCCAGCGGGGAATCGAGCGAAATGAATAAGCAATGCTCTAAGCGCAGACAGCAGCAAGAGGCCCCAAGTAATTTAACGAACAATATATGAAAAATTGATAAAAAGTTTAAAAGCGTTAATTACGATTTTACAGAGTGGTTTGATATTGATCCGGCTCATAATACCAAAGTATATGTTTCGAATTTGCCGTTAGATATTACTTTGGATGAATTCGCCGAACTAATGGGTAAATGTGGTCTAATAATGCGTGATCCTCAATCTCAAAAGTACAAATTAAAATTGTACACCGAGGCCGATGGACAAATTAAGGGCGATGGCTTATGCGATTATATAAAGGTAAGTCAGCCAGTATTTTCGTTCATATATATATATATATATATATATATAATTACATATACATATATACATATATGCATACATACATGCATATATAATATATACATATCCTAGTCAAGAAATAATAGGTATATAGGCATAAGCCAAATGTAATTTTTGCAATAATTGCCTTCAGAGCTTGTATATAGAAAGACTACAAATAGCATAACATTTTGTTAAAAAGGTTACTCAAGTTGAACTGTACACCAAAAAGGTACGGTGCTTTGCAAGCAAAAATTTATAGGCAGAGTTAAAATTCGAAGCTATAATCTTTGGACGTAGTTGGGTATTCTCCAACATTAATCTTTCAAGTTTTTGACTGATTAGACAATGGCGAAGCACGATTCATGTAATTTTAACAATATCTTTATTGTAGATCTTCTCTAACATGTTCAGTGATATCGCCTACGAACTTTTAAACGGAAAAATAGGGCATCAGAAGGTTCCTTTATTTCTGTTGACGTCATAAAGAGCTGAAAAGAATCTGAAATGCTGAGAAACTGTCATTATGTAATCGCGTACTTTTCGCTGAATCCCAAAAGTATTCACTCAAGTGATTGAGAGGAATTTTTAAATAAATAATTTTTTTTTTTGATTTTTAGTGTCTACGCTTCTAGAGTAAGCAGAGGTTCTGGACCGAATTTGTTATGTCCATTTGCCGATTTATCGGTTTGTCCCTGTTTCTCTAATTAACGATAACTGAATTGCTCGCGCAGCTTCTTCCGCTTGCAAATAAATTTCGACGTCTACAACAAATGCGACAATAAGAAATTAAAAAAAAACTCTTATACAAGTGATCATAGACACTGGCCCTTTCGCATTCCAATACATACGGAAAGCCATTTTCCAAAACTGGAACTACTATTGGTGTACTAGCGCGCAATAAATTGTATAATTATTAGCAATATATGAGGATATATTAAATTTAAATGTTCTTTTACCCTTAGAAACACCATAAAGGAGGTTTTAGAGGCGGGTGAATGCGTTTTTTTTTCTTCTTTTTTGCCGAAAAATTGTGTTTTTATTTTTCCCAAGAAAATTGCAAGTTTGAGAATAAAAAAAGTTTAAGTTCTCCTCGCGGCCGAAACTCTGTCTTGACTAATATGAATCGAGGTAGCTGCTTGTTCCATCTGTTGCACGTCTCTCGGTCGTGTGTTTTTGAAACGCTACAAATGTGTAAAAAAACTGAAGAAACCCCATAGTCGAAACTAAAAATAGTTTTGATCGATCCGCAAGTCTACGATTTGCAAATATTATAAGTTAAAATCCGTAGCAAACATTGATTTAAAACTTGACATGAATATTTAGCCAGCCCAATATATACATTCCAAATAATGCGCCAATTACGGCGCTGAAAATTGAAATGGAATGCTGAAGTTTGGTATAGGGGACATTAGTTCGTAGATTAAGCTTAAGGTGCATTTGCAGGTATGCTTAAAATTAGGTTCGTTCTTAACGTTAAAGATTTATATTTTCGATCGATTTTATTCATTTTTCGCCTGTCATTGTTGCAATCTTCAATAATAATGAAAATAACGCATAGCCAGTTGATATCATTTTCATGCAATTATTTGCATACAGTAACGTAGTTAATTCGATGCGATGAAATGTCCGTCTTCTACGGTCACACTAACTAACTGAAGTCACGCTTGTGCGCAGTGATTTTCCTTTCAATAAAACTTATTAGCTCGTAAACAGTAATTGAGCCATGCTGAGCACTTTCTTTGGGGGTAATTTTGAAGAGCCTGCCTGCCGCTTATACTTTCCGAATTGCTCAACGTTTGTTAATAAACTTTATAGAAAAAAGCATAATAAGTAGGTAATCAACTATTTTAGGATCATGTAACTTGTGGTTAAGGTGGAGGATTAAAAGAACTTTTTTTTCAAGGTTTTTTCTAGTTTTTTTTTTTTGAATTTATTGTTTATAAAGACATTTCGACTCTTTTTAAAGTTTGTTTAGAAATGTTACTCATATTAATTAATAATTAGTACGTTTCTTAATTTTTATTTAAATACATTTGTGTTGCTTTTTAATTAAAAAGGGTGCCTTTGCTTTTGGACCAACGAAAGATTTAATTATTTTAAAAAAAAAAAAAAAAAAAAAAAAAATGACAAGAACGTAACATAAAATTAGGAAAACGTGACAGAAAAAGTACATTTTTTCAGTATTCCTTTTTTTTGTTTTTTTTAACTTACAAGTTGAGGTAATTAAAAAAATTAAAGCACATATATACTTAAATATATAAAAAAAATTAAAGCTTATAATTTATATATTTTGTTATATAATAGTGTTTCTTTTTTTGCTTGTGGTTTTCTCCTTTTTTTTTTTTTTTCGTCATTAAAAAAATGGTTCACATATTTCAATAAGTATAAGTAGTTAGTGCTAAGTTTAGTCTGCTCGTTTACAGAAATTCCGTTTTTCTTAAATTTGTTTGTGTTTCCTTTCGCTTAAAAATAATTAGGAAAAAATTCTAAAAAAAGAAAAAAATTCGGTGTTTACATTAGAAAAAGTGCGGATAGAAAATTGTTTTCTGATTTCTATTTATTTATTTATTTATATTTTTTCGTTTTATTAGATTTTTATTTTATATAAACATTTATTATACTTTCTTTCTTTCTTATTTTTTTTTTTTTTTTTTTTTTTTAGATGGCTTTGCTAGGTATTGGAAAAAAAAATTGTGTTACAGGAAATTTTCCATTGCTTAGTGAATATGTGTTTTCTTAACATTTTCTCTTTCTTGTCCTTGAGTGTATAATTTATTAATTATCAATTCGTGTGATAAAGAATGCGAACTACTATTATAATATTTTTTTTCTTATATTTACAATCGTGATGGGTTTTTTTTTTCCTTTGTTTCTTTTGTATTTGGCATAATTCTTATTATGATGATCGCTTTTATTATTTATTTAAATATTTTCTTAGTGCTCTCTCTGTAAATCCTTTAATACTTTAAATGTGCACTGGTTTTTGTTTCTTCTTTTGCATTTTATTTTAAAGAATTCTTGTTAAATTCTTTTCTTTTTTTTTTCTTTAAATTCAGTTAAAAAAAAAAAATTTCCGAATTTTCCTCAGAAAACAGTTTAAATGGCGTTTTTCTTTAACTAATACAAGGTCCTTTTGCTCTACACGTAAGAATAGCGTTTCTCTCTCTCTCTCTTACTATTTCATAAATTTCAATTTATATTCCTTCATTTTTGTCTTTCTCGATCTCAAATTCCTCATTCTATTTTTGATATTGCCTTTTTTTGTTTTTGTTTTTGTTTCCGTTTTCTATCCATCCACTTACTCATGGTTGGTGTTTGCAATAAAAGCCTCATTATTGATATTGCTGTCCGTAGAGAGTTGTTGTTTCTTTTTTAAAATTTCTTTCATTTTCTTTTCTTTCAATGCTCTACGCAGCTTACGCATTTCTAAAAATTTCTTTTGATCCTCTTCCGATAATTTTGCTAAACGTTCGGTGTAGTTTTTAAGTTTCTCATTTTTCAATTGTTCTGCCCGCTTATCAGCTATTCGTTTTGCCTTTTCCAATTTCATTACACGTTCTTGTTCTTCACGTTCTTCTTCTCGTTTACGGGCCTCCTCTTTGGCTTTGGACTCTTGTTCGGCTAATTTTAATTTACTTTCATGCTCTAATTGACGTTGACGTTCAGCTTCTTCCAATTCCGTTTGTATACGTTCTTCTTCTTCGGCTATTTTTCGTTGTTGCTCCTCTAAATGTTCAATTTCTTTCGCTCTTTTAAGTTGCAATTCTTCGCGTCTTCTATTTTCTTCTCTTAAGCGGGTCAATTCTCTCTCTTCCACACGTCTTTCCTCCTCCAATCGTTCTAATCTTAAGCGTTCCTCTTCTTCATCCAATTGGTTTTTCATTTGTTCTTGTCGTTGATTTTCTTGAATTTCTAAACGTCGACGATTTTCTTCATCTTGTAAACGTTTTCTTTCATGTTCTTCGGCCAATTGTCGAGCTTTATCATCCACCTCTTTCTGTAAACGCTGTTCGTGCTCTTTATGTAATTTTTGTTCGTAAGCTTTACGTTCTTCTTCTTGTTTGCGCTCTTCTATTAAACGTTTTTCGAATTCCTGACGTTTCACTTCTTGACGTTGCACTTTCTCTTGCTCTTCTTGTTCTTTTAATCTTTGTAGGTAGGCTTTACGCCTTTCTTCTTCGGCTTCGTCACGTTGTCGTTGCTTTTCCTCTTCTTCATGTTCTCTTCTAAGATTACTTAATATTTGCTGTTGCTGCTGGGATTGCTGTTCTCTTTGTTGTCTTTCCTGAGCTAAGTCATTCTCTTTTTGCTTTAGTTCATTTAATTCTCTTTGTTGCTGTTCTCGTCGCTGCTGTTGTTGTAGTTTTAGATTGCGTTTTTGCTCGTCTCTTAATTTACGCTGCTCTCTTAATCTTTGTTGCTTCTCACGGCGCATTTTTTCTTGGCGCTCTTTTTTGCGTTGCAAACGCTTGAGCTCTTTCTCACGTTGTCGTTTCAATTTGCGATCCAATATCAGACGTTGTCTTTGCTTCCGCCTTTCATCTTCCAAATGCGCCGGTACTATTGTTGGCTTAGGTTCAGGCGCCATAATTTCATTATTAAGAGCAGTTAAAGTTATTGCCGGACGATGGTTTGGTTGTTTGGTGGGCTTAATGTGATGTACAATATCGTTAGGATGTGTGCTGGCTACAGTTGATGGTATTTGGTAGTTTACATCATTTGTAGAAGGTGGATTGATAAGTTGGGGACGACGTCTTGCATTGCCAGGTCGCACAGGTACCAGCATCACTTCGTTGCTACCTTCAGCTTTTACACGGCGATTGATTCTGTAAAATACAAAAAAAATAATGTAAGCGGAGCGAGAGAAAGCCTAGAGTAAATAATAAAGAAACTAAGACGCGGACAGACGTTGTTTCCAATTCGCTTATCATCCTCATTATTACTATTATTATAAATTAAGTGTTTGCGTTTATTTTGATAGTTCTTCCGCTTGAAAAAGCCATTCATTGAGAATAACTGATGCAGTGTACATTAATCAAAATATTTTCCATCATTTTTTACAAGATTTTATCATATTTTTAGCGACATAGCGATATCGTGTCGAAAGAATTTATATTGGTTTGGTAACGATCCTATCGACCCATTTTCGCGCTTCCTCAAATTTGCAGACCCACGGGCCAGCTAAGCCATGTTGCACCGATTTGACAAACTGGTAATCAGAAGTCGCATTTCTGATGAGTGCGGTGGGGGTGGCAGAACTTCCCATTCGAGCTACTGGAGTGTACCGCAGGGCAACTTTTACAACAAGTGGTCAAAATTGCATTTTTTGTCAATTTGCGAGGTAGCCATTTTTCCGTCTTTTGGATCGTGTTCTGATTGCATCATCAATTGCTAAGCTGGTTTTTCTAAATTCTAGCTAAGCTAAGTCCTTTGAGATGGAATTTGGTCCAATAAGTCTAGCAAGTCGTTTTTTTTTTTAGCTTTTTTGGTCCTTCAGACCGTTTTTTTTATCATTGACATCCAAATCATCACTTTTAAAACGTTGAAACGAAAATTGCTGCTTTGGCAGCAGATTTCTTCACATTAAACAATAAAAGTAGTGAAGGTCGAAAACGCAATATTGAGCGTTTCGTGATTAGCGTTGATGTACGCTGAAGAAATCAATAATATTAAATTGAAAACTGTTACTTTAGGTAAAAAAAAAATGTCTAAGTTATCTAATTTAATTGTTATGGTATTTCTAATATTTCTCATCACTTTATAATTTTCACTTGTAGAAGTCGCCTATCAAAATTAACGCAACCTTTTAATATTTTTTTGCTCTGATTTCAACTAAAAAATTTAAAAAAAAAAAAAATATCCCATTACTTCAAAAGGTGGAATCTGTAGATTTAGCTCTCAAAATACTTGATGAGTATATATTGCGTGGCCATAAGATACGTGTGCAAAGAGCTAAATTTCAAATGAGGGGCGAATATAATCCGGCATTGAAACCCAAACGGAAAAAGAAAGACAGAGAGAAATTAGCAAAAATCAAAGAGAAGTAAGTGAAGTGCATATCCGAATAAAGAGTAAATATGTGGGTGTATGTTATAACTGATTTATTTTTTCTTCATTTCAAAGACTTTTCGATTGGCGGCCGGAAAAAATGCGTGGCGAACGCTCTAAACATGAAAAGGTCGTAATTATAAAAAATCTTTTCCATCCAGAAATATTTGAGAATGAGGTTCAGTTAATATTAGACTATCAAAATGATTTAAGAGAAGAATGTAGCAAATGCGGTCAAGTGCGTAAAATAATTATATACGATGTAAGTGGAAGATCATATCTGATGCTCTAATAAAACAATCTAAAATAAAATTGTAATTCATTAAAGCGACATTCAGAAGGAGTTGCTCAGGTGAATATGTCGACACCCGAAGAAGCTGATTTAGTGATACAAATGATGGCAGGACGTTTCTTTGGTAAACGTCAGCTAACCGCCGAACATTGGGATGGTAAAACCAAATATAAGTGAGTATTTTAAACAGTGATAAATGATATTTATCTGAATTATTATAATTCTCTTCTTTCTTTCTCTCTCTCTCTCTCTCTCTCTCTCTGTCTGTCTTTTAATTCGAAGAACTGAGGAGTCGGAAGTCGAAATAGAGAAACGTCTTAATAAATGGGATCAATTCCTTGAAAGTGAAGAGAATAGAACTGAAGTTGTAGAAAATTCCATTAATATAAGTAAACCTGCTAAAGAAATTGTGGAAGCAGAACTATAATGAAATAATGCAGAGTTTATTCATTAAGTAAATAAAATTTGAGTTTGTTAATAAACTAAAAATTAAATTATTATTTTTGTCTCCTGATATATTTATCTCTTATATTTACCTCGAGCCAATTCTACTCCGACGATCGATTACTTCCAATACTACCTCATTGGCCAATTGATTCGGATATGTAGCGTTCCAACGGGTGTACACTTTATAGCGATTTTTTTCACTAACTTTTGGCATTTTATGTTGACAAATAAAACGATGTTTATCGACACATAAGCGTGATGACCATCTAAAATTAAGGCGAGAAGGGAAACAACATTAAAAACCAAACCATCAAGTATCCATCAATTAATTAAGCTACTTTGTTTAAAAGTTGCCTTTAAGGATCGATTTAGAATTTTTTTCTCGCAATTTTACTTAACGTTACTTGGGGTTATGAACCCTCCCTATTTTACTCACTTTTAAAATATTAAATAAATACATAATATTTCTGGAATCGATTGCAATTACATGATAATATTCAATGGTACCTACTTCTAGGACCTATATTAGTCTAAGACCTATATTAGTTTATTATATTGGCCTGAAAAGATAATCACTTAGATGGAGAAACGACTGCATTATCTCGCTCTAGTGGCATAGAGTCCCTCAAGCGCATTGCTGCATGTTATACACCATAAACACCTAATTTACGCTCCATTTCTTGATAGGGTGCAATTTTTAAATAATTTGTAAAGAAATTAAAATCGTTTCACGTGTCTATAAATTGCATTTGCATTTCGCTCATGTTGACGTAATAGCCAGTTGATTGCGAATATATTTAATAAAAGTTCTGTAATCATTTTCAGCTGGCGGACATACCAAATCGAGTCATAGGTGTTTTTTCTCACTGTCATTTTTTTTTTTTTTCTTTTTTGCATATAAATTGAATAATTATATATACGTGGAATAATGACTAAGTGTATATAAGTATGAAAATATAGATTTCTGTTTTGTCGAAAAAGGACTTTACTTCCAGAAGAATGGTAAAGGTTAGTTTATTTCAAGTATATATCATCGTTAGTTGCACATTTTCCTTCTTTCGGCAATTTAATGGATACAATATCGGTAAAAACCGATGCTGCAAAATTATATATGGCCGTGACCGAAGCTTTTGTACCCATCACCCTTATCCCCGAAAGGATGTAAAAAACGGGAAAGAAAAAATGTTTATATTTTATTCTTTCCGAATAAAAATGGAGATTTATAAGTAACGAGCATACAGCATGGAAAGCGAAGGTGTTCTTACTTTTGACCGCGTAGGCATGTGGGCATTGTAGACGTGTGCTTTGAAAAGTTTGGGTCATTTCCAAATTTTTTTTCCAAATTTGTAGACTATGTCCTCGTTTTGGGTGTATTCCAAATTTAAAACTGGCAAGAAGAATACTTTATGGGGTTTTTAAAGCTTGATATTGTGCGGTATTGAAAAAAAAATCAAATTTTGAAACACTGTGCTAATGCATGGTAATGCATGGTAAATTTTTGCCGTTTTTGTAAAGGTACTGCAGCGTCGCCAATAGAATGCGCTATCAAATTTTTTTAGTTTAGGACTACTGGGCAAAAAACCAATTATTTATGTCGTTTGTAAAACAGATGGGTTTTCAGTTTTCAATATTAATTTGCAACAAGAAGAATTTTCAATGTTTCTGGTGAATTTGAAGATGATGGTTTCATTTTTGCTGCCAACAGACTGCTTACGGACGGGCAGTTGGGCAGACGGACATTTTTAAATCGATTCAGAATTTAATGCTGATCAAGAATATATGTATACCTTGTGGGGTCTCTGGAGCCTCGGTCAGGCCGTTGCAAACGTTTTGAAAAAATGAAGGTATCCATCCCTCTTCATCATTTGGATGGCGATGGGTATTAAAATAGCCTTGTGTTGCCTTTTATTATATAATGATGATTTTTTGGGCAGTGTTTTATTAAATTTTAGTAGATCATACCCTTCTGGTCGCACCAAACGTAAAGTGATTCGTTCTTGACGAGCCTACATCTACGCATGTTCTTTAATTGCCACAAATTTCGACATATTGAACATAATGAAATATTACTAAGCAAATAATTTTTCACTTTGGTATTTATTTGGTTTTTACAGTTTTTGAAAGCGTGACAAAATAATATACTATATAATTATCAATTTTTTATGTTTCTCAAAGCCGTATTTCATATTTGTGCACCTGGTAACAGTTAGTAAAGCATTTTCCGTACGTACCTGTACTGTAAGTGTGGATCATAAGCAGCGCAATGATTTTCCATATTTTCATTGTTTCTAAACGAAAGAAGAAAAAAAGATTATCGATCACTTTATAAGCATAAAACAATTTTAATAAGAAATGTGTGTGTATAAGACATTCAATAAATGTAATCCAGTCTTTTTGTGCGAAACTATTTGAGGTTATGAATTCATCTATATTAAAATATGATAAACATTAACAGCATACTTTCGAAATGTAATAACTTGATTATTGGTTATGTTTAGTTTAAGTACATATGCTTTCATTGCGCACAATATTGATCAATTTTTGTTATTTTAGCGTTTCTTCCACTTCCAAGTGCTAGAGGAAACAAATCAATCAGTTGGTACGACCAGATCCAACATTTGTTCGACTTATACCAACCAAGTTAGGTTTCTCCATTTTTGGTCAATAACTCCAAAATTTGGCGACACCCCGACGTAATCCTAGCGCATTGCATTTGTGTCTCAACAGGTTATTCAATGATAAATTGTTAGTTTTTTCAAGATATGTTTGGAAACGTTCGTTTCAGTAATGTTGAAGTTATGCCCGATCTGTATTGTCGTCAGATTTGAATAAAGTTTTAGTTTGACTGACATTCCTAGATAAGTGAGCGTAGCTTGGAGCACTTTTGTAATCAGTGAAACTTTAAAAATTATTTGTAAAATACATTTTGCGACAATTTTGCCATGTGACGCATTACGTTTTGTGCATGTAGGACAAAAAAAAAAAAAAACGAAATAATTGGTTGTTGTTGGCTGCTTTCCTTCTTTGCAAACTGTAGTTAGATATTGTAGGTGGAACGAATTTGTTTGGAAATGTTTGTAAAAAAAGAAGAACGCAGTTCTTAGTTGAAAAGTATGAAAATTCCTACAAATTTTGTTCGCAATTGTTTTTGCACTCGGACACATATCATTCCGATTAACTGCCATACGCTAAAAGTGGCAACTTTACCGTCAGGGGCTTTTCGGTTCTCGGCCGCACATGTATCATTCAATTTGACTTCCGTATAATTAATAAAAAGTAAAATTTTTGATGATTATTTAAGAAAATTTTCGCGAAGAAAGTGAATACTTTCTTCAGGCTTCACTTAATTATAAGCTGAGTCAACGGGTTAATAGGAGAAAATTTTCTCCTAAGCTGTTAAATTCTTATACAGTGAAAGTTCCTTATTCGCGGGAGATACGTTCCATAAAAATGCCGCGAATACAGAAACCGTGAATACGGAATGGTAATTCATATGGGATTATAAGGCATACATACGTTCCTAGGTGACAAATTAAAAAAAAAAATCAATTTAATTGAATGCGAATGTGCATTTAGTTTTTCCCTCTTTAGGCAATTTGTTATTTCGGGAAATTGCTTAGCTGAAATGAACTAGATTTGCTTGTTTACATTCCCAAAAACCGCGAATAAAAAAATTTATAGCCGCGAATATAGAAATTGGTCGCATTTTTTTCATCCGCGTATAGTGAAACCGCGAATAAAGGAAGCGCGAATAAGGAACTTTTACTGTATATTATTGCAGGCTTCTTAGTCCGCTAAGTTAGATTATTAATAATCAGGGAGAAGAGGGTCACATTCGTCTGGGATATCACACATCTGTAGTGAATATGTGAAGATGATAACTAGTTCTCTCAATAAGAGATTTGTGTGGGTTGGCCGATTTGAACAATTCTTTGACTATGATATACAGGTTAAATGAATAAAAGTGGTAGGGTTTTAAAAATAGTACCTGAAAAATTCATTGCCTTTCATCGTTTGAGAATCGAAAGTGAATTAACGAATTAATTCACTTAGTCAGCATTTTTCACAAAAGGAAAACCAGCTAAAGAATCTTCTTTTAGGGCGAATTATGCTTATAAAGACTTAATGTATTTTTCGTAAAAAAATCTGAATCGATACAAGCAAAGATCTTGATTGGGACTTTTGATAAGAGAAAGTCGACTTCTTAAATATATTGTGTAAACGTATATGTTTGTGTATCTTCGCAGTGAAACGAAACGATACTATCTAAAAACTTGTAAGTAAGAGAAAATAATGAAAATTTAAAGATTTACTTGGTGTCTATTTGAGTGTAAGCCTCTTGAGTTAAATTATGGCCAGTTATGCTCCATTGCCACACTTTGTTGATCCAATCATAAGAGGCTCCAATCCATATTGGATCGTTCGCTAAAAGATTAAATGATTTCAAGTGAATTCCTTTTGTCTCTATTTTATTTTTATGCTTGAACTTGTGAAAATTTTCAATTAGATTTACCTCGAGTCGTAGCGTCTTCTTTCTGTAAAAATTCTCTTAATTTACGATCTGAAAATTTTTTTGGTTCTGCCAATTTTGAGTTTTTATCCTTGCAAAAGAAGTGCGCCTCTAGCCAACTGCTATGCTGATGAATAAGCGAATAACATTCGGTGCCGACACGTTGAAAACCGGGCGGACATAAAGCATACATCCGACGATTGCGGGTTTTATCTTGTGTCTGCGATTCGGCCATAGCGTGGCCGCTCTGATAGGGTGAGATATTGGCAAAATTAACACCAACCGATACGCTGGATTGATGATAGTCAGCGTTGGTTGTGTAAAAGCCTGCGATAATCGGACGAGTAAATCAAGTTTTTATTTATTTATTTTTTTTTTTGTTTTGTTTTATTATTGATGATTTTCATAGAATTTATACAACTTTACTTACCTAAAACTACTATTAATAATAAAAAGCGCATTTTGCTTAGCTGAATATATGTATGTATAAATGTTGTGAGTGCTTCTAAATTAAGGTTGAACAAACACAAATTGAAATTTTAAATTAGATTTGTAAAATAATTGCTGCAATTGATAATGGATAAAATTGATGTTGCTTCTGATATTGGCTGCTGTTGTTTGTTATGTTTTGTTATTTAACAGCTCAAATTGATTGTGGTTTGAACAAATGCTGTTCTGCGGCTTATTCATCCATTCATTCTTTTGGCTGCTTTCATAGTAATAAATATAAAAAAACTCTATCCATCAAACTCACTGTAAATAAATAAAAGCAAGAAAACAAAAAAAAAAAATAAATTAAAATTAAATTTTTAGTATTTATTTGCTGTTTGGGTTTAATTAGATCATTTCCTTATTCCTTTTTTTTGTATTAAATAACCGCATGAAAAGTTCCTCTAACGCTATAATAATACCACGCTTTGATAACATTAATTAAAGGAGAATTTGTTTAAAAACGAGCACGCATTGCGGCATGAAAATTGTTAGCTATTTACACATTCTAACTACTAAGTTGCTTCTGAGTAGAGACCATTTCCATGTGACGTCTAAGTATGAGCGCTTATTGTTTGCATTATTTGGATGCGTCTATAAATCTTCGATCAAATTAAGTTCAGCGGTCAGCGCCATTTTTCCACCGAGCCAAGTTTCGCTTGCCAGTTAGCCTCGTCAGCCTAAGTGTTTCGTAATGCGACTTGACCGATACTTTTCGTAGTCCGCAGGTTGATTGGTATATCATATCAGCGATAAAGTGCGATATGCGGCGCATAGACTTAGAGCGAAAAGTCGATATCCTGCCTATAGTATAAGACGGTATCTTGCATATAATGATTTGCCAATTAGAAGAGTCATATAGTTGGTCAACAAGTTAGTTTTGTCAACAAGCTTCAACGCCCTTGTCTAGGTGGTCGTGTGTTAGGTAGTATCCATTTTTCACACGTACACTCTGTATGCTCTTTACGTGTCTTTAGTCTGCAATCGGCCGTTATTCCCAAGTATTTCATATGCTTTTTATGGAGTACGTTGGTATTATGAACTTTAAATGTAATCTTTTCGAGCTTCTTTCTTGAGATTATTAATACCGCTTCTGTATTCTCTTCTGCTGGTTTTAAATAAACTGAATAAACAATTTCAGTTGCGTTATATGCTAGAGTGGTGCCTCCTCTCAACTTCTTTAAGTACGACTATTATCACTGTATTGGGTTACCGTATATTCGAGTAGTTAAGAAGCATGATTGCCTAGCTGTGAAACTCTGACTCAATTCTCAATACTGTGGATAGTACTTTCACAGCGGTTGATATATGATCATAGCTGTAGTGAGCGCTCAATCGGTAAAAGCATTACGCTTACTCCCACTTCTTTCTGACCAGCATTGTGTTACATATATAGGGGACATCCCTTGACTAACTCGTTATATAAAAAATAGAAAGAAATTGTCAGCAAAGACGATTGAATTCCCCACTGGGAAGCGGCGATTTTAGAATATCATACATAACGTCTCGTAATGTGCGGCTTCGACATGCTCCTGAAGGTATTTTTCCAGTAACAGTTCCTTTTCTGCTTTTGCTCGCCACAAAATTTTCTGTAGGTGTAGCAGTTAGCCACGATATTAGTAAGATAAGGTGAAACGTCTTTTTCTGAACGGCAATTACGGTATAGATGAATTGAAGCCTTTTTTAATATCCATTATTATTACGAGGCAATGAATTTTGTTGCTATAGTGGTGACCTTGTTGATTTCATTTACAATGCTCATCTTTTTCTTGAATCGGGAATTCACCAGATCGGTTAAGTTTCAAGCACTCTTTGGATGCGGTTGGCAATCAGGATTTCGTTAACTTTGCGTAACTTTGCGTGTCCAAGAGACAAACAGAGCGGTAAGCTTAGGATTCTTGGGTTTAGAGTGCAGATCGAACGTTTGGCCTTTTCACTTTTCCACAACTATTTTCTCTCTTAAGCACATATTTACAAACATCGCAGGTTTCGTTAAAATGGCTTGACTTATGGCGGTGTTGAGGACAAAATTGTAGACAAACCAATTTCGGTCTACAATTGACAACAACTGACCCTAATATGTTTCCTCTCCGTGCTTTTCGGTGGCAACAAAGTGTCGACTATTGTCTCTACGAAGATTTGTTTACACGCGCTTATGTGTACATATCTATACTAATAAATGGTGGAATAATTTTTGGTAAAAAAAAAAAAATGGGCAATAACTAGGCAGATGAATTTTTTGTCAATTATCACCAAAAAAGATAATTAACTATATTTTCAACTTTTAAATTTTAAATATTTTTCGACTGTGACGAGCAGAATAACACGTATACGCTATAAAATTAACTATTTATGATAAAGTATCAAGTATTCGCCGTTGGCTTTACGGAAAATGTAAATATTTATTGTCGATAAACAAAATGTATTTTATTGCTAAGAAATATTACGTATAGGGAAAAATTAACGTAAAATTTGAATTAATATGTTAAACACTTTAAATAAAGCCAACGATATTGGTTAAAGCAAGATGACCTACATGCAACGCTAACTCTCATATTCGATCGATCGATTCATAATGCTCATTTCAGATAGATAGGCAAGCGGATATATTTGAAAATATGGACGGGCAAGTACTAAAGCCTAAAGAATGCATGCCTTTTGAAGTCCTTCAAATTTTCTTTTGGGTGTTGCGAATGTTGTTGCAAAAGAATACAATTTCATAACTCTATAATATGGGATGGGCGAGATCGATTTTATTTTATTTATTTATTTATTTATTCCACTTATACAAGAAACTCAACTAAAACAAAATGGCAGTCGAGTTCAATTGACTCTTAAGTAAATCTTAAAATTATTTAATAATAAAACTTAGTATAAGTACAATAAAACAAATAAGGAGGAAAAAAAAAAGCATGTACACAATTAGCATAGAGCCACACCCACAACCGATACAGGACCAAATTGCAAGTGAACCCCTAAGCCATCGCAAACATGCATAAGCTTGGCAACCGATAATTGTTAACAACAAATTAATTTTCGACTCATAATGACAAAATCTAAGGTTAAATCAGTTTAAGTACGACATAGGTAAATCGCGCTTGTTGAGCAATATTGCTTTAATGGACTTTAAAGAGTCCGTTAATGAGAATAGATGATAGACATCATTTAGGTTCTTGCAAACAACTCTGAGCGGGTTAAACAGTTCAAAGTTATATTTGCATTGACTAAGCTTTATCAACATAAAGTGCCTAGAGAAGCGGTTAGGGACATTAAAGCAAATCTCACGAAGTAATGCGGGCGAATCAATTGCACCATTTATTAATTTGATTAGGAAGGAAACCCCAAGAACAAATCTACGTTTCTCGAGTGACGGTAAGGATAACAGAAGCAACCTATTTTCATAGGGTGGAAGAGGGGAAATCGGGTCCCAATCCAAATTCCTAAGGGCAAACAGCAAGAATTGCTTTTGTATAGATTCAATTGAACTTACGTAGCATCTATATGAAGGAGACCACACAACAGAGGCATACTCAAGAATAGGTCTAACCAAACACGTGTAAAGCCTTTTAGTAATATAAGGATCATCAAGCTCTTTGGACCACCTCTTTATAAAACCAAGAGCGGACCTAGCTTTGCTTAACGAGGACTCAATATGCAAATTGAAACGTAACCTATAATCGAATAGAACGCCTAAATCTATGAACGAATCGACGTCTTCCAACCTGTGCGAATCAATGAAGTATTGGGTACTAAACGACTTCCTTCTTAAGAAAGAAAGCTTCTTACATTTATTTAGATTTAGCTTCAGAAGATTGAGGGAGCACCATGCAACCAAATTGTTCAAATCACTTTGAAGATGATGTGATAGACATACGAATTTTTATCATTGTATCCTAAAGATTTCCAGTTCCCTTTTCTTTTTTCCGTCCTGCAGATTCTAGTAGAAGTATATACTCAGACAATATATTTTTTGAAATGTCTACCGTTCCTCAGGAAGAAAGATTATAGTTGATTCGCCGATTTTGCATACGAATGCGACGAGTATACTACATCATACAGAGTTGAATGATTGAAAAATGCTTTAAATATTTATTTGATATCTTCTTGATTTGCTCTCACTTGTTGAAATCCATTTTATAAAATTTGAAAGGGCAAAAACACATTAAATAAATTTTGCCAGATATGTTGGGGAATTGAGTGATGACGATGATGGCGAGCCTCAGAAATATAGTCAATTTAATACAATAATAACAACAACAAGGCAAATGCGGTTTGCCAACAAAATTCCCTTTGGAAACTTCGATATGCGTTTGCGTAAATGCACAGGTAAATAGCGGTCATTCGGTTATATGTATACATGACAGTCCAATAAAGGCTTATACAACTTGTTTTCTTTATCACAATTTTTAATCATTTCTTTAATTTCCTCTGCATACACTTAGCTGGCTTAGAAAAACAATCAATAAAAACGCTCTGTATATTTGTACGTCTACATCTAAATATGTAAAATTGTAACTTAAATGGGAAACGACGAATACGCTCGTCGTACATATGAGTCCTTATAATTAATAGTATATGTAATTCATAGACATGCCAGTTTGTCTGCCAGTCTTTTCTTTTCTCTTCTTCACGCAAACTCAAGTATGTAAGTGATGTATGTGCACAATATTGACTCAATTAGAATTTAAGAGATCGATCAATAACAATCAACCCGTAGTTATGCAACAGAAACTTTGACATTAGCAATTATTTTCAAAACAGACAAAGAATGATCAATAAACGAAATCAATGCTATTTTATGCTTTTTTTCTTTTTTATTGATTTTCGCATCCAAAATATTCTCATCTACGATAAATTAATTTTTCCATTCTCTAGAACGCATATAAGTTTAGATAGGTATTATTTTTTTTTTTTTTTTAAATTCCATAAATCTCTAAAAAAAAGTTATCGAGTCAGCGTGGACGATTTTTTTTTTTAATTTTAATGCGTATTAATGTTGTTGTGTTTTTATGCCTTTCAGCGTATCGTAATATCTTTAGCGATAACGATTAAGGACATGTGGTTAAAAGATTTATTCTTGACAATTATAATACGGTTCTTAACCTTCTATTTATCAATTCCCAACTACTTGGAAGTATTGAAAATATTATTTATTTGCATTCCTAAGCAGTCTTCTTAAATCAATTTCTTATATTATTCCATGAACTATGAATGCATTAAACTTAAAAAAGTTAACTCTTACTCTTAGATCAGATATATTTTAA